AAAAAGAAGTAGGAGAAATCTCTGATCATGTTACTCAGTAGATCTGGTGCTTGTAGAAAGTGTTCAGTCCTGAATATTGGTTAGCCATTGGGAGTCTGGGGCCAGTTTAAAACCTTAATGTGAGGAGTAGTTCCAGAAAATGATGATGTTATGTCATGGAAAGGAGTTTCTGTAAAGGTATAATAGCTGTTTGCCAAGACTAGAATGATTTTCATCTGAGAGAGGACTGAGCTAGGCCCTTCAGTAGTAGAAACTATGGAGAAGCACATTGGCTGAGCATAAAGAAGATACTTTATAATAATTTCTAATAAAAATATAGGAACATTTTCAAGTAAATGTTTGGTAATCTGTGGCTCTTCTAAATATAGTAGTGTTGAGACCTTGTTGTTGGAATGGTCAGTTCTTTTAGTCATAAAAACCCAGATTTGAATCTTAGTTTTTTGGGCATGACTAGGCAAGTTGTTTATTAACCCCTCAGCTTCTGCTTTTTCTCTTTGCTTTTCTTTCTCCTTTCCTTTTCTCTTCCCCTTTCCTTTCTTTCGTGTGTGTGTGTGTGTATGTGCGCGCGCGCATGTGTGTGTGTGCATGTGTGTGCGCGCTCTCACACATAGATCTGTGATTTGGAGATTGATACCAGGAGATTGAACCCTAAGCTACCTTTCCAGCCCTTGAAACTTCACTTTTCATGCCTGTTATATTGGAGTTTTTATGAAACTTAAGTGAGATGAATCGAGCTAACGTGTGTAATATTCCCAACTTAAGTTCTTAGGAGATGTCAATTCCACTTTTTCAGAAAATTACAGGATTGATGGGAAGCAGTTTCCTGGAAGATTCTTCAGCAGTGGTTGGATAGCTCAACCTATTGTTTTGTTTTCTGGTTGTTGAACTTGTTTTAATGTGTAAACTTAGGAGTCATTTGAAATGATCAACCCAGTAGTAATGAGCACTTCTAGCACTCATAACGTAATCTTTGTGTATACTAGAGAGAATCAGGGCTCCTTAGAAAAATGGTGGATTCCAGATATGAGGCAAGAAATAAGATAACCAGGAACAGTTTGGCATACCAAAGTAAAGATGATGCCTAAGACAACTAGGATCATGTCAAAAGGACCAGGAGCCAGTCCAGTCTTCCTCTAGTCAAAGATGAGACAATTTCAAGATTGTTAGGAATAATTGCAGTGGACTGGAATACATTAATAACAAATTGTACTATTAAAGGATGCTAGTGAGCCAAGCTACTATTTTGAAAACAAATAAGCTATTTTCCTTCCTTTCCTGTATAAACTGTATCACTGGGTAACTGTACCAAATAGTTTAAGAGGTAAGTTTCTCTTTGCAGAAATGTTCCAGCAAATAAAAAAGAATGATAGTATAGAAACACTTTACAACCACTTTAGTGAACTTAGGGATCCAAGCATTGATCATCAGTAGCTAGTGGTATCACAGAACAGCCGACACTCTGTGCCTTTGATGGAATAATACACCACTGTCCGGGAAGTATTCTTAACCCACATCTCATCAAGAATCTATACCCAGTTGCCAATTTGCATGAAATGCAGAGGATATAGAAACATTTTAAGTTACACTATGATAAACCAGCAAATCCAGACTTCAAAAAATGTCCATGTTAGTGATAATATTATGTACAGGTGTAATATTAAGCCAAAAATTTCCTTCAAAATAGTATCAAGAGAGGGTTAGCTGGGGCTCTAAAAAGAGCTACATTGCCACAGATTGCTGATTTGGGGGCTGAATGATCTGTATATGAGTTTCTTAATGTTCTTTTTAGATATGTAATAAATATAATTGTTTATGATATGCTAAAATTGCAGCTGTAGAAGATAAATTGGAAAAATCTATAGCCTCACTTATGTATTTTTTTGTTGTTGGTTGTGGGGCTTGAACTCAGCCTAGGCACTGTCCCTCAGCTCTTCAGCTCAAGGCAAATGCTCTTCCATTTGAGCCACAGCGCCACTTCCATTTTTTTGAATGGTTTATTGGAGATAAGAGTTTCACGAACTTTCCTGCCAAGGTGGCTTTGAACCGAGATCCTCAGATCTCAGCATCCTGAGTAGCTAGGATTATAGACATGAGCCACCGGCATCTGGCTACTTACATATATTCTTTTTTTTTGGGTCCAGTCGTGGGCCTGAACTCTGGGCCTGGGCATTGTCCCTCAGCTCTTCAGCTCAAGGCTAGCGCTCTACCACTTGAGCCACAGCGCCACTTCCAGCTTTTTTTTTTTTGCTTATGTGGTGCTGAGAAATCGACCCCAGGGCCTCATGCTTGCAAGGCAAGCGCTCTACCACTGAGCCACCTTCCCAGCCCTACTTACATATATTCTTACACATTATTAGTCACTTGCCATTTTTTATAATAATCTGCAGATATTTACTGTGCTTTAGCTGCCTTCCTATTACATTTTTATTTTGTGTTGGGACTTGAACTTAGGGCTTCAAGCTCTTGTTTGGCTTTTTTACTCACAACTAGTTTGCTACCACTTGAGCTACACTACCAGTCCATCATTTTGCTAGTTAATTGAAGGTAAGTTTTTCATATTGTCTGCCAACGTGGGCTTCAGACCTTGATTCTCAGATCTTTGCCTCCTGAGAAGCAATCATATAAGCACCAACCATTGTGCCTGCCCATACCAGCTTTTTTGTGTGTAATCATTTAATACATCATTCCTATCTTCTTGTTTTTATGAGTAAAACCATAGCAGTTTTGGATATATATTTTAGTGCTTTTATTGAACTTTCCCTAGAAAATTCCCTAGGCTTATGGGGAAATTCAGTGCATCACAATTAAGCTGAGTACAACTGAATTAAGGTTCAGTGGTCTCTGTTAGCTTTGGTATTAAAGAAATTCCAGTAGCCCTAGACTATTAGCTAATCTCAGTATTAGTTTTTCTAGTATTAGTTCTTTGGTATAGTCCTGCAAGTAGGCTTCTTAACTTTTTTTTTTCTGCTTTTTTCTTTTAAAAACACCACTCCCTTTTTGTTGGTAGTAATGGAGTTGGAGCCCAGATCTTTGTTTCTGCCAGATACGCATAAAATTAAAGGAGCCCAGGCACTGTGACTCACACTTTAATCCTAGCTACTCAGGAGGCTGAGATGTGAGGATCATGGTTTGAAGCCAGTCGAGGCAGAAAAGTCCATGAGATTATCTCCAATTAACTACCAAAAAGCTGGAAGTGGAGTTGTGACTTAAGTGGTAGAACACTAGCCTTTAGCAAAAATCTAAGAGCCAGTGCCCAAGTCTTTTTTTTTTTTGGGGGGGGTCCAGTTGTGGGGCCTGAACTCTGGGTCTGGGTGCTGTCCCTCAGCTCTTCAGCTCAAGGCTAGCACTCTACCACTTGAGCCACAGCGCCACTTCTGGCTTTCTTCTTTTTGCTTATGTGGTGCTGAGGAATCGAACCCAGGGCATGCATGCATGCAAGGCAAGCGCTCTACCACTGAGCCACCTTCCCAGCTCCAGTGCCCAAGTCTTGAATTCAGCCCCAAGACTGGAACCAGACAGGTGCTGGTGGCTCAGACCTGTAATCCAAGCTACTTAGGATTCTGAGATCTAAGCATTGTGGTTTGAAGTCAGTCTGGGCAGTAAAGTACCTGAGATTTATCTCTAATTAACCACCAAAAAATCTGGCAATGGAGCTATTAAGGTTCAAGTAGAGTCAGAAAAGCTCAGGACAGTGCCTAGGCCCTGAGTTCCAAGTCCCAGGACTGGCATACACAGAGAATAGTCCCTTTACCCCCATTTCTGTTCTTGAATGCGTCTTGTTAGCTTGGAGTAGTACATTTAAAGTTTTTTCTTCTGAGTAATAAATGATTATTTTTGTCCCATACTTTATTGACTTTAATTCTTTACACTGATTATTGATGTTTTATTAAAATAGATTATGAAATAATACAAACAAAATTATATAACACCTGCATAGTTTTTACCAAGCTGAAAAAAGTATTGTAGGTACAATTAAAGTTCTTTTTATACTTCCTCTTGGGGATGATATAACCCTATACTTTAATGATGTATTTATTATTCCATGATTCATTCTGCTTTTACCATCTTTTGTATGTCTATAAAGAATTCAAACCTATTTGTGATTTATACATTTTGATATCTGTTATAAGCTTTTAAATTTTATTTTATGTGGTATATATTACCAAATAGCCAAATAGCTTTTATGTAACTACCAAATTATTTTTTGAAGTAAGTGAGCCCATTTATAACATAAATACTACATTGGAGTTTTCATTGTTTTACATCCTTACTGATGAGCAGTATTGTTAATACTTTTTATTAGTCTCATAGGTAAAAAGTGGCACCTCACTTTTTTTTATTCTTGCCAGTGTTGGTGCTTGAACTCAGGGCCTGGGTGCTGTCCCAGAGCTGCTTTTGCTCAAGGCTAGCATTCTACCACTTGAGCCACAGTGCCACTTCTGGCTTTTTCTGTTTATGTGGTACTGAGGAATGGTACCCAGGGCTTCATGCATGCTAGGCAAGCACTACTAAAAAGCCAGGGGAATGTCCCAGAGCTCTTTTTGCTCAAGGCTCGCACTTTACCACTTGAGCCACAGCACCACTTCCAGATTTTTCTGTGATTAATTGGAGATAGGAGTTTTAATAGACTTTACTGCCTGGGCTGGCTTTGAACTGCAATCCTCAGATCTCAGCCTCCTGAGTAGCTAGGATTATAGGCATGAGCCACTGGTACCTGGTGCACTTTTCTATAATTTGATACAAAAAACATCCCTTCCCTAACTCCCAAGCCTTCAGGGATATACTATGATAGATTAAGTGGTGAGATTGTCACATGGCTGTGTACCATGCAGTGAACTTGTCATATAGTGTGCTATTAGAGGAAAAAACTTTACTCCCTTAAGATAATGGGGCTCTTCCTAATTTTTCTCAGGAACTAAAACAAATTTTTCTTACAGTATATGAGAAATTCATAGTGCTACAATATCTGCTGCTTTATATTGTTTTCTTTCCTATTCTAGGCTCCGAGCTCTGTCCAGTGGTGGGAGTATCACATCCCCTCCTCTTTCTCCAGCACTGCCGAAGTATAAATTAGCTGATTATCGCTATGGCAGAGAAGAAATGTTAGCACTTTTCCTTAAAGACAACAAGGTAAAAAAATAGGAAAAGAAGTCAGAATTTTGGCTGAGACTTTAGGGTGATATTTATAATGATCTATTAATAAAATGAATATATATCTCAAATGTATCTTTTGTCTATATGTTGATTTATGTTTTCTTTTCCTCTACCTTTTTCCTGTACTGAAGCATAACTGTAGTTAACAGTGGGTGTAAGTGTAATGCCTTCTCCTTAAAGAAAACTGATGATGTCATTATAGAAGCAGGTGGCTTCCTGGCAACAGGACAGTCATCACTTCATTTCATCCTGCCCTTCTGATCTCTCTGTTCCAGTTTGATAGCTGATAAATGAAGAATTTCTTTTTTTTCTCTTCTTTTTTCTTTTGGTGTGTGTGCCAGTTGTACTTAAGGTCTGGGCACTGTCCCTGAGCTTTTTTGCTCAAGGTTAGTGCTCTACCACTTAAGCCATAGGCCTACTGTTGACTTTTTACCAGTTAATTGGAGACTATAGAGTCTTGCAGACTTTTCTGCCCACGGCTCGCTTCAAACTATGGTCCTCAGATCTCAGCCGTAGCTAGGATTACAGGTGTGAGCCACTAGTTCCTGGCTTCCGTTCTCTTTATTTAACCCTTTATTCTACTCAGAAGGAAAGAATGAGAGAACTTTCTTACCCTTTTCTCTTTTTAAGTTAAATATGAAATTTTTGTTAGAAATCTTAAAAATAACATATTTGTTTCACTTATAAATGATCAAACTCACACCTGTAATCCTAGCTACTTAGGAGGCTGCTATCTGAGGATCGTGGTTCAAAGCCAGCCCAGGCTGGAAAGTCTATGAGACTCTTATCTCCAGTTAACCACCAGAAAACTGGAAGTGGCGCTATGGTCAAGTGGTAGAGCATTGGCCTTGAACTGAAATGCTGAGGGACAGCGTTCAGGCCCAGAATTCAAGCCCTGTGACTGACCAAAAAAAAAAAAATCAAACTGGAAAATACAAGGTAGATGTATCTGACTAGGGAGACATTTTCTGTTTTTCTCAATATACTTTGTTATTAATTTATTAACAGAGGATCTTGAGTTTTAGTGATGGTTGCTAAGGATAGATAATTGCTTATGAAACTCTCCTTACCATCTGCTTTGAGTTAAATGTGGAGACTCTTACTCCTCCACTGTGTTTTCTGGAATATCAGAGTTAATGCTGAATCCAAAGTGGTGGACCAATGGGAGGAGGAGGAGGAGGATGACCTTAGTTTTTAACATTTGCCTGTTTTCATATATATAACTACCAGATAATCACAAGTTAATTGTAGTTAGAAAAGCTTAGATTAACATTTATACTAATTAGTAATATGTGAGCAAATATTTTTTCCTTGGTTTTTTCCTTTTTGTAATTGGAGGAATAGTATTAATCTTAGGGCTGTGTGTTTGTTGTACAGATACCTTCAGATCTTCTGGATAAAGAATTTCTACCTATCCTACAGGAGGAGCCCCTGCCACCATTGGCTCTAGTACCCTTTACAGAAGAAGAGCAGGTATGTGCCTGCTCTAGATCTCAGAGCAAAGTATTATTATTCTTCCTCTGATGAATGAAGTCAGGAAGCTACTACTTAGGCCCTAAAGATTATGTTGAGTTCTCCCAAATCTTCTTCCTTTTTGCATTTGAGTGGCCTACGTTTTGCTTTTGTATCTGAAGCCATTTACCTGTAGGTAGAGATGAGGAAATGCTTCTGGAATCTTAAGGAACTATCTCTTCTGACTTACTCAGCAAATATTTTTTCTGAGAGACTGTGGAAGATTGAACATCTATGCAGAAAAACATCGTTTTTTAGAAGTAATTGTCCACATGAATTTTCACCAAGTGCATTTATTTTTACCACTAGAGGAAAATGTGGATACTCATCTTGAAATAACTACAGTTCTTCTGTTATCCATTTGTGTGTGTGTGTGTGTGTGTGTGTGTGTGAGAGAGAGAGAGAGAGAGAGAGAGAGAGAGAACTACTAGGCTAGAAAGTGGCAGATTTTGTTCTCTTCCCATTCATTCAATATGTTCTGGGCAAAGTTAAACTTTTCTGATTCTTAAAATCAGATTCTACTAACAGTGGAAAAATGAAGCTTTTTTGGAATACCACTTCATTTTGAGACAGGGTTTTACTATATAGCTTTGAACATGATCATCCTGCTTGCCTCTCCTTAGTGCTGGTTTTACAGGTATATGCTGTTGTACCTGGCTGCAGTGTTGCTCTAAGTGAAGAATTATAACAACTATTTTTTTGTTGGTTGTGGGGCTTGAACTGGGCCTGGGCACAGTCTCTCATCTCTTCAGCTCAAGGCTATCACTCTACCACTTGAGCCACAGCACCACTCCCGGTTTTCTGGTGATTAATTGGAGATAAGAGTTTCATGGACTTTCCTGCCCAGGCTGGCTTTGAACTTCAAGCCTAAGATCTCAGCCTCCTGAGTAGCTAGGATTACAGGCATGAGCCACCAGCGCCCTGCATCTTTCTTTTTTTTTTTTTTTCTTTTTTATTGTAAAAATACTGTACAGAGGGGTTACAGTTACATGAGCAAGGTAATGAATATATTTCCTGTCGAGCACTGTTACCTCCTCCTTTGTTTTTCCCCTACCATCCCTTCCCTCCCCAACTCTTTCCCCTCCCCCCAAGTTGTAAAGTTCGTTTTCAACATAGTGTTGGCATCTTTTATACAACTAGTTTTGATCATAGGTTCTTGGAAGTCACACTAGTTCCATTAAGATGCTGCTGAGCTACATCTTGAGCTATGTCTTCACTGATTATTTTTTAGGATAAGGTTTCATTTCCTTCCCATCATGCCCTTGAGCTGAGATCTGCTGCCTTTTAGGCTTTATATTATTGCTTGTGATCATAAGTGTGAGCTACTGTCTCTAGCTTTCTTTCCACAAGATGGAAACTCATGGACTTTTCTGCCTGGGCTGGCTGGCTTGGCACCATGATCTTCCCAATTTCAGCCTCCCCATGTAGCTTGGAACAACTGGCACCAGATACTGTACCCAGGTATGGTTTGAGAAAGGTTCTCACAGACTTTTCAGCTTTCAAAGTGTCTTAAGATTATAGATATGAACCGTATCAGCACCTGGCTCAAACTTGTTCTGTTTTTATTCACAAAACATGATATCTTGTAGGGTCATTAGCAGATATTTTTATTTAAAAAGATATATATATATATATATATATATATATATATATATATATATATGTATATACGTATGTATGCATTTTGATGCTGTTCCTGGGACTTGAACTCAGGGCCTGGGTGGTGTCCCCGAGCTTTTGTTGCTTAAAGCTAGCACTCTACCACTTGAGTGATCCACAACTCTACTTCTGTATTTTTGAGTTTCATAGACTTTTTCTACCTGGGCTGACTTCTAACCTGAATCCTCAGAGCTCAGCCTCCTAAGTAGCTAAGATTACAGGTCTGAGCCCCACAGGTGCCATGTGATATTTTCTTTTATTAACATACGTAAGTTCCACATTGGGAAGTTGATGGTGATACTTATTCTCTCATACAGTATGATGCGATTAAACTCACTCTTATCACTCTCCCTTCTAAAGCAGTGTCAACAGGTTTATTATTCTTACTTTAATGTGTACAGATAAACTACTTTAACCATATCTATCTTTATTCATCTTTTCTGTTTGCTCTCCCCTCTCACACTGGTATTTAACTCCCCAATAGAGTCTGGTTTTGTTGTTGTTGTTGGTTGTCACCATAAACTCTGGGCTTGGGTGCTGTCCCTCAGCTCTTCAGCTCAAGGCTAGTGCTCTACTGCTTGAGCCACAGCACCACTTCCAGTTTTCTGAGTGGTTTATTGGAGATTAGCGTCTCATGGACTTCCTTCCTAGGCTGGCTTTGAACCTTTGTTCAGATCTCAGCCTCCTGTGTAGCTAGGATTATAGGTGTGGGCCACCGGTGTCCTGCTATATACACATTTTTGCAGTACAGCAAAATATCTCCTTATCTATGTTTGAGAAAAAACCTGTTGATAGGTGGAAATACTATGAAGATGATCCGTTATGCCATGAAAGTAGGGATAGACAGTACACTGCTGATGGAATGTTACTGTGACTAGCCAGTATGCAGTCAATCCCTGGATATAGCATAAACACAAAGTGAACATATGTACATGACTCTAAAAGTAAGCATATCCTAAGATATATTATTAGTACCTTCCTCAAGAGAAATCAGTTGAAGTTGGAAAAGATGGCACAGTACCTTTCAGTTTCTCCATGAAACTAAAAAAAAAACACCATCAGCTTGCATACCTATATCAGGGTAGTATGCTAGGCAAGTCAAGGGAACAGTAAACAGTAGAACCAGAGGAATACTGAACTTCAGATTTATAAAAGAAACAAAAAATGTACAAAGAGTTTTAAGTACATACGGTAGGGAAGGAATATTCCTCCAGTAAGGCTGCAAGAAAGAAAAAAAAGCCTAGAAAGTCTCATGGGCCCACAAACTGGTACTTTGCAGAAACAGATTAACCAAGGAACAGATAGACACTGGTGCTGTGAAGGGGAATCATCTTAGGATATTTGGCTCTTAGAGCTTGGCTTATTGTGCTCAACATGGTGATCTTCACTTCCATCTTTTTATTTATTTATTTTGCTGGTTGTGGGGCTTGAATTCTGGGCCTGGGTGCTGTCCCTCAGCTCTTGAGCTCAAGGCTAGCACTCTACTACTTGAGCCACAGCACCACTTCTGGCTTTTTCTGCTTATGTGGTGCTGAGGAATGGAACCCAGGACCTCATGCATGCAAGGCAAGCACTCTACCACTGAGCTACCTTCCCACCTTCATCCTTTTTATTTTTAAACAAATGATTTTCTTAATGACTGTGTAATATTCCATATATTCTTTATCCACTTGTCTCTTGTTGGGTACCTCAGTTGATTCCAGTTTGGCTGCTTTTGAATAGTGCTGGAATAAATGTGTACACAGGTATCTTTTATTGACTTTCTTTTAATAAATGTTGAATAGTGATATGGTGAGGTCATAGAATAGATCTATTTTTAGTTTTTGGGTTTTTTTTGTTGTTGCTTTTTTTTTGGTTGGTCATGGGTCTTTAACTTTGGGCCTGGACACTATCCCTGAGCTCTTCAGCTCAAGGCTAGAGCTCTTTCACTTGAGCCATAGCACCACTCCTGGTTTTCTGGTGGTTAATTGGAGATAAGAGTCTCACGGATTTTCCTGCCCAGGCTGGCTTTGAACCGTGATCCTAAGGTCTCAGCCTCCTGAGTAGCTAGGATTATAAGTATGAGTCACTGGCATGAGGCTGTTTTTAGTTTTTTAAAGGAACCTACATTATTGATTTCTATAGTGGTTGCACTAATTTACATCCTCACCAATGTGCATCCTCACCAGCATTATTTGTTGTTTATTTTTTTTGTTGTTTGTTGATGATTAGCATTCTGACTGGAGTGAGTGGAATCTTAGTATAGTTTTTTTAGTTTAGATTTTGACCTTGTTTTTCTTGGTTTTATAATGATGTCAGGTTTGTGGATTTTTTTTTCCCTTTATCGAGATTAAGTGATTACATAAATTTCACAGTACTGTGGCATAGTGATACTTAGCTAAAGTCACAAACACATTTTAACCGTCATAATGCAAACTGTCACCTTGATCTATAAAGCTTATGAACTCGACAAACTTTTTTTTTTTTTTTTTAGTCCAGTTGTGGGGTTGAACTCTTGGGCCTGGGCGCTGTCCCTCAGCTCTTCAGCTCAAGGCTAGCGTTCTACTACTTGAGTCACAGCGCCACTTCTGGCTTTTTTTTTTCTTTCTGCTTATGTGGTGCTGAGGAATCGAACCCAGGGCCTCAGGCATGCAAGGCAAGCGCTCTACCACTGGGCCACCTTCCCAGCCCCATGAACTCTACAAACTTTAACAGTAAACTATTTCTTTCAAATTGGGTGATTTATACATTTCTTTCCTTTTGCTTAGTGTCATCTTTTCCCTCTTTCTCTTTCATTTCCTCCCTCCCATTGCTGCCCTTGAGTTGCTTAGTTCACTTTCATCACTGTGGCCCTCTGCTACATATTTTCACCTGTTTTCCTCTAATTCTATGCCTTCCTCTTAGCTTCTGTCAGGTATGCACGTGTATATACCATATATGGGGTCCAGAACATAGATTCATCTAGAAACTCCATGACAAATTAAGAACAGGTCCTTTTATTTCTTTTGAATCTAATATCTGCATATCTTGGCTTATCTTGCTCAACATGATTTGTTCTAGTTTCATCCATTTCCCTAGGACTGTCATTATTTTGAAATATCCTTTCTAATGGTTGTGTAATAATCCATTGTATATAGGTACCACAATTTTTTGACCCATTCATCTGTGGTGGGGCATCTGGGTTGTTTCCATATTTTGGATATTGTGAACAGTATTTTTCTTGGTGTTTATAATGACCTCAGGTTTGTGGTTTTGTTTTTTTTTTTGTATTGGGGCTTGAACTCAGGGCCAGGGTACTGTCCCTGAGCTATTTTGCTCATGGC